GCTCTACTTCGAAAGATCTCAGCTTCGCAATTGTCGATTTGATCCTTGTGAGGTAAGCTGCCATTGAAGGCTCTTTAGCCTCATACTCCCCCGGATCTGATTGGCGACCAGCTGAGAATCTGTCTTGAGGTAGACATGCTCGGCTTCCAACGATATGCACAGGTCTAAGCCAGCAATGGCTGCTTCATATTCGGCCTCGTTGTTAGAGGCTTTGAATGAAAATTTTAGTGCATACTCGAAGGTTTTGCCTTCGGGAGAGGTAATGACGACCCCTGCCCCCGAACCGTTCACGGTGGAGGACCCATCCGTGAAGACGGTCCAGATTTTCCTCCTTGCATCCAGAGTCTCCTGATAGGAGCACTCGGCCAAAGTCTGCCAAGGCTTGCGCCTTGATGGCTGTTCTCGGCTGATAACCGATACTGAACTCGGTGAGCTCGAAAGCCCACTTTGCTAGTCTACCGGATTTTTCAACCTTGCCGAGGACTTTCTCTAACGGCTGATCAGTTAGAACCGCTATTTGATGAGAATCAAAATAGGGTCGCAACTTCCGAGCAGCCACCACCACTGCATAAGCCACTTTTTCTAACAATGGGTAGCGCGTCTCGGCATCCGTCAGGGTGTGGCTGACGAAATAGATCGGCTGTTGAACTTTTTCTTCTTCCCTTAGCAGCACCGCGCTTACCGTGGCTGGACTGACCGCCACGTATAAGTATAGGATGTCTCCTACGACTGGCCTTGCCAGTGTTGGGAGTTGAGCCAGGTGTTCACGGAGCTGCTGAAAGGCTGACTTTTGTTCGTCTCCCCATTCAATGCCTTTTGAATTTTGGAGCTTCAGCGCCTTGAAGAAAGGGAGCCCTTTGTCTGAGGCTCGTGAGATGAACCTGGACAAGGCAGCCATTCTCCCGGCTAGACGCTGAATATCTCTTTTTGTCTTCGGCTCGGGGAGGTCTAAAGCAGCTTGTACTTTGGCGGGGTTTGCATCAATCCCCCTCTTGCTGACCATGAAGCCGAGGAACTTGCCTGACTTCACGCCGAAGACACATTTCTTCGGATTCAGCTTCATTTTGTATTTTCTGAGGGTGGCGAAGGTTTCGGCTAGGTCCGTGACATGATCTTTTTCTTTTATGCTTTTGACGATTGAGTCGTCAACATAAACCTCCATGTTTCGGCCTTTTTGCTCGGCGAAAACCTGATCAACCAACCTCTGATATGTTGCCCCCGCATTTTTCAATCCGAAGGGCATCATTCTGTAATTGTACAACCCGGAACTTGTTATGAACGCTGTTTTAGCTCGGTCCTCGGGGTGCATGAAGATCTGATGGTATCCCGAGAATGCGTCCATGAAACTGAGCAGAGCATGCCCGCTTGTCGAGTCGACCAGTTGGTCGATCCTCGGCAGCGGATAGGAGTCCTTGGGACATGCCCTATTCAGGTCCGTGAAGTCAACGCACATCCTCCAGTTACCATTTGCCTTCTGAACCATTACAACATTGGCCAGCCACTCCGGATACTGACAGGGTTCAATGAACCCAGCATCTAGGAGCTTATCGACCTCAGCTGCGATGTTCTGGTTCTTTTCGGCGGAGTAGTTCCGCTTTTTCTGCTTAATGGGTCGACTGGAGGGGTCGACATTAAGCCTATGGGAGACGAAGTCCGGATCAATCCCGGGCATTTCTGCGGCTGAGAAGGCGAACACGTCTCCACTGGCCCGTAGGAGTTGGACGAGTGCCGCACGGGTGTTTGGCTCCAGTGACGACCCGATGCTAACACATCTGTTCGGATCTCCTACGGTCAGTTCTATTGACTCGGTCAGGTCATCCGTCTCCATGCTCTTAGAGTTGGATTCCTCGAATTCCGGCCTGCTATCAATATTAGCAGACTTTCCTGACCGCGGCTGGCCATCAGAGTCGTTCGGCTCTGAGGCGGAGTCAGCCTTTTGGCCCCCATCAGATTTCTCGTTGTCTGGGGCTTCATTAGCCGAAACGTCTGAGCCTCTCGGCTTTTTGGCGTTTCGGTCCCGGTGCTTTTCCTCCCCATCGCCACGGTCGCCTCGGCGAGACGTGGATGGCTTGAGGTGATTGCATCGGCGGGCTTCTTTTTGACTGCCCTTTATTTTCTCGGAGCGTCCCTCGTCTGAAACGTATATCATGATTTGATGATACGTGGAGACGACTCCTTGAATGCCGTGAATGAGGGGTCTCCCCATGATCACGTTGTATGCAGATGGAGCATCTACGACCAAAAATTCGGCCATGATATTCCTAGCTGCTCGGCCTTCGCCGATGGTGACAGGAAGTGTAATCTTCCCGTCAGGATACGAGGAAGAGCCGTTGAATCCAGACACCGGGTAGGGTGCGGGGGCCAGGTGCTCGGCTCCCATCCTCAGCTGGTCGAACGCTCCTCGGAAGAGGATGTTCGCCCCGCTACCGCCGTCGACGAGGGTCCGCCAGACGTTGCGGTTGGCGATGCCCAGAATGATTACTAGTGGGTCATCGTGGGGGTATACCACCCCCTCACAGTCTTCGGCTGTGAACAGGATGTTCGGCGCCGGTGACTGGGACTGCCGAAGCTCAGCCTGATGAATCTGATGGGTTAGACCCCTCAGTTGGCGTTTGGCTGTGCCTCGCGAGATTCCCCCGGAAATAACTAGGATGTCGAGGGACTCCTTGCCCTGAGGTCCCTTATCCTTCTTCCGAGCGAAGTTGAGGTCCTGCCGAGAATCTTTTTCAGCTTTTTTCTCCTCGCGCCTGTCCGCGAGGTATTGGCTCAGGTACCCCTTGCGGACCAGATCCTCAATCTGGTCCTTCAGCTGGACGCAGTCCTCGGTGCGATGTCCGGGTGAGTCATGGAACTCGCACCACTGGTCCTTTCCCCTCGTCTGATGCCAGGGAGGCAACGGACGAGGTTTTTTGAATCTCCCCTCGTCCTTCGTCGTGCTGAAAATCTTAGCACGGGGAAGGGAGAGTGGAGTGTATGAATCGTACCTTCCCGTGTAGGGAAAGTGTCTTTCCTTCTTCGGCTCGGCAGCAGAGGACGGTTCTGAGGCCTTAGCCTTCCCTTTCCTCTGCGCCGAGACTTCGGGCTGCTGTCCTTTCGGCTTGTCAATTCTCGGACGAGACTGAGACCTGGATCTGTTCCACTCCTCGGCTCGGATGAACCTGTCCGATGCTTCCAAGGCTTCCTCCAGGGTCTGCGGGGGATGCATGACCATGAAGTCCAGGAACTTTCCAGCTTGGAGGCCGTTCCGTAGCGCGAACACGGCCAGGCCTTGATCCAGGCTTGTGATTCCGGATGACTCGTTGCTGAAGCGAGTCAGGTAGTCGCGGAGGCTCTCGTCCTCCGCCTGCTGCAGACTCATTAGCTCTGCAGTGGTCTTCTCTCGGCGGTTGGCCGTAGAGAATTTGCTCTTGAACTTGTTGGAGAGGTCGTTCCAACCGGTTATGGAGCCTTCCTTGAGCCCTTTGGTGATCCAGGACTGGGCAACACCTTTGAGGGTCGTAGGAAAGTATTTACACCAGGTAGCCTCAGACCTCGGGTTCAGATACATGTGCCCCTCGTAAGAGGCAATGTGATCCTTAGGATCTGAGGTACCATCGTAAGTAATATGTGCCGGGATTTTGACCGTTGGCACATGCTCTTCCAGAATCCACTTCTGGAAGGGCGAGTTCGATGGAACCATGACCGCCTTCCCCTTGTACCCGGCCTCAGGGACCTCGCTCCCTCCTCTCTCAGAGGTGGAAGTGGTTTTCGTCCCCGGCTGAGACAAGGTTGGGTGGGGTCCGGTATCCTCTGGGAAGGTGAGGCGGCTATGCACACTCACCTCCCTCGAACCCAAGCGTTCGTGAACGCTTTGGCGGGCGAATTCCGGGTCCTTGGAGGGCCCCATGGAATTCTGAGCTTCAGAGTGGTCAGAGGGTTGAGGGTTCCTCCTCCTCTCCTTACTGGAGTTTCGGGTGTCCCCTCGCCACCTCTGGCCGAGCTGTCTATGTGGTGGAACTTGTCCACCATCATCCTGACCGATCCTCCTTTTCAGGTTTCTCGGCTGGTGATCATCAGGCATCTGGATTGGAGCCCCTTGAGCTTTAAGGAACTCCATGCAGATGGCCACTGCTCTGGCCACTTCCTCGGTGGAGGGTCCGGAGGGAGGAGTCTCCCGCGGATGTGACCTGGATTGCACGCTATGGCGCGGCGGGGAGTTCCTCGCACCTGAGCCACTCGGTCTCGGGGATGGCCCCGGCTGCCGAGTGTGGTGCGAGGTGTTCTCCTCCTGGAGGCTAGGACCTCTTGAGGCTTCCCTTTCCGGAGAGATGGGGGCCTCCGATTCGGAAGAGGCTTGCTCCGGGGAGGGATAAACCGGCTGGCGTTCCCTCACCGTAATCCGGCCTCCTCCCTTCCTAGCCTTCTTGGAACTCTTTCCACTCTTAGTCATGGCGACTGCCGGAGTGTTTGATGACTGACGCGAAATTTAGTAGCTTTCCCCACAGACGGCGCCAAATTGTTTCGGATGAAAACAATCGAATCTCGGAAGATCCTTTTATCTTGAGGGAACTTGGTCTCGGTCCGAACGACGCAGGAGCCGAGGGTTTCCTGCACAACAAATACACGCAAACTAGCCTCGGGGGGACGCCGAGGAAGGCCCCTCCGATGCTTAAGTCAGTATATTAGAGAGAGAAAGCTGTGCAAGAGTTTAGTTGCTTGAGGCTTTATTGTCTTACCAAGAATTGACCAAATTGTTGGCTTTTATACCTTGGCTAATGAAGGAGGCGGATTGGGCCCGGAAGTCAGTTGGGCTGGGCCAAGCTGATTGGGCCGTTGACTGACCTTGACATGGCTTTGAGGATGTTTGATTTTTGACTTTAGCACATTTGGAGAGTTGAACCTTAACCTTGGGCTTTTAATTGGATCATTCAGTGACCAGGCCCAATTGGACTAAATTGGACCCAAACACTAGTAATTAGGTATGTAGTGAATCTCGGCTAATGTATGAAGTAAAATTACAGGTGATGGTGAAAGAAGAAGATGAAGTGGTAGATTCCTCGGATATATTTGCTCACATAAGTGGTGTGAATTCATTCAAATGCAATTACCAACATATTCAATCTTGGATTTGAATGTAAGCACTACACTTTAAAGAAGGCTTCTTAATGAAATTAGTCACACAAATTATATTTTTGGTGGAAGGACAGACATTTGGTAAATGATCAGGGTTTGTACACCTTCAAATTCTGGAATAAATAACTTTTAAGGAATAGGTTTTCTTGAAGTAATATTATAATACTAAATGTAATGATAATGTACTGTAGTTCTCTTGCGATTTAGAATGAGTAAAATAACAATGTAATTTTGTAGGAATTATTGTTGTGTTATCTCATTTATGTGGATATTATAATGCTTGTACTTTCCCATATTACGGGATTTGGTGTAGAATTTTCTAAAGTTTTGGTAAATAAAGCAGTGAAGTTGTAGACTATTGTTAAGTGCACCAATTAACTTTTACATCTATTCTCGTTTGTTCTTGAAAGCAAGTTTTTTTTTTTTTTTTTTTTTTTTTTAATCTAATTGAATGGAGCATTATCTCGATATACTTTTTCATATACTTTATTCAAGATATCACCGTTCTTTTCCTGTTAAGAAAGATATACACCATTTGTACCTAATCAATTGTCATACACTCATACTTGATTACTTGACTTGATTGTTAATTTGTTATTAGGGCAACTTGTTCACAAATTGTCACATTTACATGATTGCATCCAGTTATCACTTGTACCGCATCAACACTAACATGTGATCATTACCTAAAGTCCAAAAGTGGCCCGATAATTTTAAAAATATGTATAATCTCAACTTTGGTTTGTTTCTTATAAGGCCCACTATCAACATGGGCTGCTGTCCTCGCTTGTTAATCTCAACTTGGGTTGCTTCACTCTACGCATTTCGGATTATGTATGAATTGTGCCTATAATGCTATAAATATCAAATAAATTTTAAGTTGCAAACCCGGAATGGGTGGACCTGTGAGAGATTTTGATTCGATAAGGTCATTTTCCTTAGCTACAAAAGAAATTAATATATTAGTAAACAAATATTACACGCTTCGTGGAATTTTCAATTGTCTACTCTTTTCTGTCAAAAAAGGAAAAAAAAAAAATTGTCTACTCTTAGGGTATTTTCGTTCATTTTCTTAGAAAACTAATTTTTTGGCTAATTAATAAGGACTAATTAGATCCAATCAAGTCTAATAAATATGGGTTTGTTTGGCATCGCTATGGTATTCTGTTTTTTTGGTTTTTTGTTTTTCAAAATCATATGATATATATCATATAATGAATCAAAAATTAGTCAAACTTATTTAAATCATGATAATTTTGAAAACTGACAACAGAACAGCGAAAACACTTTCTTGTTTCCTGTTTTTGGTTTTTGATTTTGAAAAAACTAAAAATAAAAAACAATGTCAAACAAGCCATAAGTAATAGAGTTGTGGTTATCACTAATGTAGCTTTACTCTCATTTGTTTTTTTTTTTTTTTTTATTTATATTATGAATTGAAATTGAGTTACCCAAAAACTAATTATTACAAGTTAGTTGTCAAGTTACGCTTCCCTCTTCTCTCTTCTCTCTCCTCACTCTTTAGGTTTTAAATTTTCTTGCCTGTTTAGGCCGGAAATAGTCTAATTTCTTCGGAAATTAGACTATTTCCGACCCCCCCTATTTTAATTATTTTGCTTTGTTTTGTTCTCTCCGTTTGTGAGAGTTTGTCCCAATTATTTTGGGTTTTTCCCAATTTTTTGGGATTTTGATTCTCATCTATGGATGAGAATTTTATTTTTAGGGTTTTAATAATAATTGAGAAGGTAATTTGGATTCATATGGGTTTAGGGTTCGTCATCAACTCTACGATCAAAACATTAGCGCAGATTGCGAAGGTCTCTACTTGAAAAGATGCAAAGACATCGAAAATCACTGCTCGCGTCAAGTTTGAAGCGGTGGAGTGTGAGCTATACCCGATATGCAAAATAGTTATAATTTTAATTGTAAAAGTTACGTTATTTTCTCTAGATCTGTGGTTTACAAATATTTATTATTATTGTAGATGTCGTATGATTATTTAATAATGATAATATTCTTCTTAGTGTCCAAAAAAAAAACTAATTATTACGAAATAATACATGAGAATAAGACAAACAGATATCTTAAATTCAAAGGCATTTAACATACGTCGTCGATGAATTTTTAAATGTTTGAAAACCACACTTGAATAGAATGCTTACAACTTACCTACTAACCTTGTAATCTTGTAGAAAGTAGTACGAGTAGTATACATCCCAAAACAAATATACAAATACAAAACTAACTACTTGTATAATGTTTTTACAGAAATGCCAAACAAGATACTATTCTAGACCAAAATACTTCAATTTAAGATCTTATCAGCTTTTCAAATTTAAAATTTAAATTGAGGTTCCCCAAAACCTTCATGAAAAAAAATATAAATATAGTGAATGATTGAGCTAAATTGCTTAAATTTGGCAATTGTCAATTATTGATGAAAATTTTATTCATATTTAGACAACAATGGGTCTTGGAATAAACGACATAAAATAAAACAGTTTGAAACTCAATTATTTTTCCAAAAGTTAGGTAGTTTAACAGCTCTAAAAGACAAAACTTCCTAATCAAAAGTTTAATTTTTAAATAATAACTTATATCAAGGTTCAATTTACCTAGCCTACGTCAAAATAAAATTTCAATCAAACGATTATAATTGGTGTGTATCAATTTATCCGGAATTTAGGGAATTTAGAGAATTTTTGAAGACAAGCAAAAAAATATTTTATTTGCTCTTGCTTTGAGTAATGGGAAAGTGAATAATAGCATGAACTAACTTAAAGATGTGTACATGGTATTTTGTTGTTTTTGATGATACATTTTTAATTTTTCTTATTTACTCTTTGTGCTATTTTGGTGTTGTTAATCGACCACTTCTTTAGTTTTTCTAATGTGAAAAAAGTGTTTGTATATTATTCATCTTATTTATTGGAAAACGACGTACTTCCATTTGTACTCAATCATGCAGTTTTAAAAGCTACAAAATAACGAATAACTATAAGATGGTATAAGAAAATTTAGTAATTATTAATTAAAAAATAATAACAATGATGTATCATGTATGCGTAATTTGACCATAAACTACAAAACTACAGTATACAACTATACGTAGTGATGTCATTTAATTAGATATATTTTAATTAATCATAATTAGTTGTTAGGTTGTATGTATCAAACCCATTTTATATTTGAATTAGTTTGATGGATAGAATGGGCAAAAATGCACCTTAACTCTAATTAAGTGGAGTATAAGATTAGCTAGGCTTATTAATTAGGAACAAGGGTAGCATTACAAAAAAAAATTTAAAATTCGACATGGAAATTAAAATTGCACTTTTCATGAGTGAAACGGATGCATCATCTTTTCTAGTTGTGTGATAATTAAGAATGACATGCTTAGTAGAATTATAGTTCGATTGAGATTATAATTTTTGCATTTTTTTTAAGCATCCCTTTTGATGAATTTCTAACCCTATGCTAATAATGGCATGATTAAGAGTCAGATATTTTGACAAGAGTTAGTTTTTTTTAAAAAAAATAAATATTTTTACAAGAGTAGATTGCATTGAAATCTCCTTAAAGTCAGGCCATTACTTAGGTAGTTGTATATTTGACAAAGGTTTTATCTTAGTTCTTACACCCAACTTCTCCATTGAACACTTTCCAACTTCTCCATATCACATTATTCCACACTGAACAGTAGTAATAGGGAAATCTTAGAGCTTACAAAACTGGCATGTGATTGGTTGTTGGACCCGAATTCGAATGGTAATTGACATTGGATAAATCAATTTAAAATCGACCTAAAATTGACCCATTATATATTTAGCTATAAAAAAGATTGAATGACAATTAGACTCAAATATGCTGAATAACTTATTATCTAAGTATATTAGACACAAGATCGACCAATTACCACCTCCATGTGAAACAATATATACATTGGTGATAAACGGAGTAAAACTAACGATGGTATATGTAATCATAGATTCATGGAAGTGTTCTTCTAACTACGTACCATTTTATTACTTCCATAATCACTACAACGTGGGGTTGTTAGTCGCAATACTACATGCTATTGTATTATAATTTTTCTTTGATTGTTATAACAACACCTACCGTTTAAATGTGAGGAGGTATAGCAATTATACATGCTCGGGAAAAAAATATACACCAGTAGTTTGATATGGATTTATTATCTTATTTGAAAAAAAAAACGTTTTGGTCAAGACGGAAAATTGTATTAATGAAAAACCCATTGAATTTGCATGTAACTTAAAAATTTATCATCAAAAACATATTTTAAAGTCAATTAGATTATCTAAAATCATGTGACAATAAAAATGTAACGCTAAACAATCCAAGTAAATAGAACTTACTTTTGGTCCTCGCTTCAACTCACCTCACAAGGTCTAACAAGTGAGTAGGAATCTAGGATCAAGAAACATTGATCTTCAAAAACAATTGTGATTTGGAAGGTTGGAACAAAGAAAGCACTCAAAAAGGAAAGCAACCAAGATGTAATAAATGTCCGAGGATGACTAAATCTAATTAAAACTCAAACATAAGGTACAATATTTTATTGACCCAATTTATTAAATTTATCAACTCTGTACGAATATATGTTCCTGAATTTACGATTCCCCACCACATTGATCTTCTTTCTCTCTCCAGTCATTTTCATTAATATTTAATTAAATTAAAAAATAAAAAGAAAAATAAAAACCCTGTTTGTCAGCTTCAGTCAAACTCAAGACTTTTGTATGTGTGTGTGCTCAACAGCTCAGACTTCCCTCTTTCTCTCTCCTCGCTTACCAATAACCCAAAGTCCTTGCTTGGCCAATGAAAGTACTTCCTTATATTTCGACTCATTTTACTCGTCTCATAATTATACTCGTAATACATGTGGAATACAAACTTATAAAGTAATAAAACGATAAAAAGTGAATGAGTGAATGTGAGATCAATTAAAGAAGAAAAAATAAGGCAAGTAAAATAAGACACGACTAATCGAAAAATAGGGCAATTAAATTAGGACGGAACTACTATAAAATTAGGTGGGTCCTTTGGAAATTTTGGATTCCAAGTTAGTTTTATTTGGAGCACAAAAATAAAATTGTAAGTTTTCAACTAAGAACGTGGCTTACGATTTTTAGCACCTTAATTACCCATTTTCAGTTAGTTTCTTCTCCACTTTCTCTCTCTCTATCTCTTCTTCAACAGTTTCTTTTCATTTGAGCATTTCGTCGAGAAGGTGGTGGGCGGTTACTTTTAAGGTTGAGGGATGAAAATGTTGTGATTTTTTTGGGAATTGGTTGGGTTTTTTTCATCTGGGTTTTTGGTTTTTGGATCTTACACTCAAGGTAATTTGTTAAAGTTTTGATTTTTTTTAACTGGGTGTTTTGTGATAAATTCTTGTTATTTTTTTTTTTTTTCATTTTAATGTTGATTTTTTTGGGGTTTTTTTTCCTCTTATAGTTGGAATGTTGAATTGTTGGTTCTGGTTTTATTGACTAGTACTCTAGTAGTATTTGATAAAGGACTTGAATTTAGTTTTTGACTTTGTTGCTGTTCTTTTGATTGGTATGTTTGTGGCAAATCTGAGTTTCATGCTATGTTTCGCTGTTGTTGTGTGGTTCTTGGTGTAGCAAAAGCTACAAAGCACGAGATTCGATTATGCTGCTAGTATATTGAGCAT